TCATGTCCATTCCCACATGGCTTCCTCTCCTGAGCCAGTTACATGGTGAATGGCACTGGTAAAGTGATCCAGCTGAACAGAAGATGAGAGAGAGTAGAAAACAGAAACTTGACTACTTAAGCATCATGAATATAGGAAAGAGTAATGAAAGAATGAGCTCCTCTGTCCAGCTCCAGCTGTATATTATGGTAAAATCCATCTGCATCAGCATTTTGGTTTGAACTGGGAGCATGCCTCTGAAGTGTACCTCTCACCACTTTCTATCCTTTGGTTCACATACTGAAATGCTCTCAGGGAATACAAACTGAAACGAAATTAAACAAGAAGATATGCCCCAACTGTTCAGGGTCCAGTCATAGGGACTGGAACTATTCTGAAGGAAAACCCTGGAAGACATCAGGGTCTCAGAATGAACTTTTTATTTTATAGATATACACTTATTGGGCCACAGTACTTGCCAGAGTAGTCACAAAGTCCTTGGAGTTCTGCTATCGAGAGCTAACTGTCCAGCTCTTAAAATCCAACTTCCCCACAAATGTGTACTTGAAAGAAAGAATGAAGTAGGGGCACAGAGGACAAAATCTTCTTTGTTTTATTCAGTGTCAACAGAACTGCAAATTAGTGTGTTTTGAAAGGGCAGAGACTCCTAAAAGAAGGCTGAGAGATCACTCAAGAGAATGATAAAGGGGCAAAATACAAAATCTGCTTTGGGTGGATGAACTAATGAATCCTGATAAGGATCCAGTTGTTTAATGCTGTCCTATTTCTTATTTTTAAAATGCAGGAATAAAATCCAGGCTATAGTTCTCTTGCTAAATCATGTATTTCCTTAAATTACAACCTCTTCCTCCCTCTCGTCTCCCTTCCTTTAATCTTCTCCTTTAAAATAATACTCCAATTAGACTTTATTTTTGTGCGTTAATACTCTTGCTTTACAGCTTCTCTTCCTCTAGTTTCGTTTCTTTTTCTACAGCAGAAAATGTAGTCAGTGCATGGATGAATGAACAGGAATATCATGCTTGTTTTGATGTACACTACAAATCTGGCAACACACAAGTATTTCTTTGCAAGCAAAGACAGCAGAGAGAGAGAGAGAAAAATCTGTCTAAGAAATAATGAAAACTTAGGGACTGAGGTATCCCAGTTCTGTGTCAAGACAGAAGATTTGTTTTTAACCCTTTTGAGAATCGCTGACTCCTTCCCAACCTCAGGATTCCTAATTTAAGTCCTTCTATCCCACTGTAAGGTGCCTCAAATTTGATGGGTTTACTGTAATCTGAAAGAAAAACATGTCAGAGGCTTCCTCTGCCTGAACTAGCTTTCCTATCTTACCTACACTCGAGGCAAAATAACTGCTACTTCATTGCTAAACAGATTAATTTACATATAAAGAAGGCTTTCAGCAAGAACAAAAAAGCAAGAAAATAACAGTGACCAAGTACAATGTGTTATCTGGGATGTACACCAAAGGGTGAAGGCATGTGAGACAACAGAAGGAAGGTAGTCATAGAAGTCAACTGCACTTTAGAGCACAGAAATCCCTACGTATTTGTTAGCAAAAGGTGTATATACTGACTAAGAAATATGTTGTGATGATCAGCTTCATGAATTAAGCATCAAGGAATTGGCTATCAGTAAAGCCTATGGAAAAAGCCCATCTCCTTATCGTGTACTTGAGAGAGACGAAAAAGAGCAAAGCTAATGCAAATAAATCATAAATGGCTCGATGGTTTTGGCTGAACTAAATCACAACGGCTGAATTGCAGATAGCAGTCCCAGTGCTAATGCTGCTATTTGCCATCACCCAGCTCTCAGGAGCTTTGTCTCAGATACCTGCACCAGGCCACTGTTCAGTTTTACTGCCCAGTAAGAGAAACTCTGGTGGGGTTGGAACGGTACAAACGGCGAGAGATCATCCCTAATGACTGGGATTATTTCAGTCCCAAAGCTTAGCCAACCTTAGCTCCAGTTTAATTCCCTCCTTTACAATTTCTCTCTAACCCTTTTCCTCGCAAGAAAGCATAAAGCTCATCTTGCAGGTGACTGAGATACAATTGGATGCTATAACAACCCAAAATGTCAGTGCCTGAATTGTAAGTTTGTTGCTTTTCCTTCCACTTCCTTGTCTTTTACATGAAGTTGAAAAAATACAGCTTTGGAGTCTTTCAGTCCCACTGGGCTAGTTTCATTTCATTTCATTTCAATTTAACTGAAGACTGTGTTTTAAGGAAAGCCAATATTCTCCTTCTTTGCTCATTTAATGAATATCCCACTTTTATTTGTACTTTCCATTGAGCAAGTAATTATGACTTTAATGTATAATCCTTCTACAGGTAATAAAACTCAGATAGGAGCATGGAAATGCCATTCTGAATGCAGCCCTGTTGCTTGAAGATTGCATCACATGTGATGACTTTTGCTAGTTTGTAAAATTTGCAAACATCAGGCTGTAGCACGGTGCAGGAAATCAAGTGCATATGAAATTGTTCGTATTACAGACAACACAGCATGTCCAAACATGCATGTGCTACAAATATGATGGTTTTTAAACACTACAAATAACTCTCTTTCCAGAATTGGAGTGATCCTATGCATAAAATACAAGATTCCATAATTATTATTACAGATGTTTGAAAACAATTGCAGTTTCTGGAGTCTCCAGCTGAAACATGCTGGTTTAGCCTGGGTCAACCCAACCACAAAGCTTTTTACAGAGTTGAAACTCTGCTGAACACTGGTTTGATCTTGTACTCAGTATGAGAAACACTACTGCAAGTTTGGTCTGTGAAAGACAAAAATTTATTCATTTCAAAATCTCCTGCTTGGTCTCTTTTCAAACCATTAATTCCCCAGAAAATGGAACTAATAAGGCTTGGTTTCCTGTAGTTATTGGCTTCTCTCATTGAAGCTTTTCTTTAATCTGAGGCATTTATAATGTCTCTTTATTATATGGATATTCTAGTATTTAACATGAATTAAGATCAAGCCACAGCCCTTTCTTCTGGGAGGGCTGGAACGTTGCCCTACTCCATTGGTTATTTTCCCTAGCCATGTAGGATCTTTATTTTTTTTAACTTTTGCCCCTTTTTTAAATTCAGCTAAAAAATCAGTTTAAAAGAAACTGGAAAAAAGTAGGGAGACACATGTACACACACAAAGTATGATCCCATAAGCCTCGTTTTCACAGGGACAGGCTGAAAACATCATCTACAAACAGCCAGAAATTGAAATACATGCATGGAAAGAAAAAAGTGTCTGGAATATAAAGGTGTCCTTTTCCCTTGGGGAACAACTGCATATACTCAATACTAGCCCAGAACATAAGATTAATGCTGTTTCTATAAAACCATACATCTTCTAATGAAAACACAGGAATATCTTTAGCCACAACAGAAGCAGAGGGTACTGAGGTATTCTCTCAGTGTGATTTATTTTCCCTTTTTAAAAAAAATAAATCTCTAAAGCAATGAGCTGAATATTTTGTTTCTTTACACCAGGGACTTACTACAGCAAGTAATAGGAGATGAAAATTTATTTGTGGGGTTTTTACTGACTATAATTGGCTGCCAACTGGATCAGAGGTATTTTACCACAAAATAATGATGAAAGGAGCAGAAGAAAGATGCTCAGTTAGGGTCTCCCCTAGCCATGCTTCCTTCTGTAACCAATGGATAACAGAGTTACAATCTAACTCAGCATGTCTGTCATGGCATTCTTAGAAAGCAATTATTTCACAGAAATAAGGATAACTATTAAAATGTACTCTTTTGCATATACACCAAAACACTGACAAAGTGTCATGCTGAATATCTGGTAGAGATCATGACAGGACAGATCACATATTAAAAACTTTCTTGTGTACTTTCTGAGCAAGTGAAAGAGATGAAATTATCCCCTTGGAGTAATTTATTAGTGTAACATTACATAAACAATTAGGATATATTTCTCATAATTTGAGATTAAGTGGCTTGTGGGCAACTTCTGCACAACTATCAAATTGTCTCATGTTTATCACAGAATTCTTCCTTCTGTCCCGGGTCAGTTATGTACAACCTAGAAAGGAAGAACTGGAAGTTGCTTAGACTTCATACTGGAAACCAAGACGACGACCATGGCTTGATCTTGGACAATAAGAAGAATGTGGTTAACCTTGGAATCCTTTTCTTGTGCTCCTCCTGTCTTTTGTAACCATTAACATCACCAAGCCTCAGCTATCTATCAGCATCACATACAGCAATCTGTTTTTCACTTGGAGCAAGTTTGACCTTTTAGCATGGTGATGTAATAGTATCATGAGGTTGTGATTTGCCAGTGGTGGGATAAAACACGGGACAGTGATTCAAGAGCCAGTTGTTCACTATTCCTGATGGATTTAGGGTGATGATTTCCAAAGAGATACTAAATTGTTCCACTGCATTTTGACCTAAAGTCAACTAAGAGTTGACAGCTTTGGCTAGATTGTGTGTCAACCTTTACATCTGCAAACCTAAAAGAGAGAGTGAAATTCAGATGATGATAAATTATGAGGCAAGCATAAGGTCTGTTCAGATACAGACAACTTGCAACTTGATCTTCCACATTCCTTATACTTCAACTCTATATCTATATAGATGGTAACTTAGGTGTGGCTAGAGTTACCCCTCCTTTTTGTAAGATCTGTTCAAAACTTTTCTCCCTTAAATAGTTATAAAATATCACAAGTAGCAAAACCAAGTCTGTTGTTGAATCAGTTTGTAACTCTCTGCAGAACCAGGATGCACTTAGAGACCTCTGAAATAGCAGGATCTATGTGCATCATAACACACAGTTGGCATGCTTATTCTTCCAGTGTAAAGGACCATTAATTTCTTTTCCAAGAGACAGAATATGCACCACCAGGCTAGTCAATTTATTATTGAGATGAATCAACAAAGATTTATATAGTAACCAGTTGTTATTAAACATTATTTTGTAGGTATACATACAATGAAAGAGAAAAACAAAGAGAAAAATGTATGTACCTGTTGGGTAGTGTTCATTCACTGGCCAGCTGTCAACCTGTAGTGTGGCATTGCCACCATTCCTGGTAAAGCGTACCACGTGGTATTTCCCATCATTTACAGGTGTGCTTTCCTCTTTAATAGAGATGTCCACTGTGCCAATATTGAAGACTACACCAATCTTGCCTTGCTCCTAAAAGAAAATAAAAAAAAAAATTGAAAAGAAAAACCCAAAAGAAAAAAACTCCAAATTGTAAATTGCCGCCTGTTAGGAGAATGTTCTTGGCCTATAAATCTCTAATGGGTAATTGTGCCGGTAGGTGGCACTGAAGAATACACAGAAGCACCATTTTGAGCTTTGTCAGGACACATCATTGGCTCTGCTTCAAAACAAACATTGTCTTTCACACTCTTCTTCACAACATTCACCTAAACATAGCGACTCATTTGTTCCCTCAAACCATCACAGAAGACAGGTGAGAAATCAGGCAGTAAGAAACAGGAGATGTGGATATATAGTCATTTGAGCAACGTCTCTACTGATTATTAGTAGTCACTTGTTCAATTGTCATCTGAAATGCAGCCACAGGCAGGCTGTATCCCAACTGTTTTGTTCTGTTATGCTGCTTGTGAAACAAACAGCCCCCACTGCAAAACAAATAACCATGGGATCCAGCAGGGAGAACGCAGTTACAAGATGGATGGAATTAGAAGGGAGCAAAAATGTAATTAGCTGACTTTGACCACCTGAGGGAAGCTCATCGCTCTTAAACCAAACGGAAAACCTTCCAGATTTTCAAAAGACGGGAGTGGCTATAGGCTTTTACTTTTCTACATTACACCCCAAGCAGTGCCTTACCAATAAAGCAGTCCACCATAGTGTTTTCCCCAAACTTTCCACCAGTTACCAACTGAAAGGGAAGTAGGCAAAGCCAATTGTATCAGCCATAACACCCATAACACTTTCTCCTGCAGCTCCCCTCATGTAGTTCCATGTAATGACCATATTCAATGACTTTAGGTTGTAAAATATACGCTCAGAGTATATTCAGAAAAGATATCCATGTTTAGTACTACTGTTTTAAACAGTGCCAGAAATTCCCATCACTGTACAATATACAATTAACAGGAATGCATCTTCAAGCCCTCAACAAGGAGAGGCACAGTACACTGGTGTCAATGTTTACGAAGGCATATCAGGTGTATGCACAGATTCAACTCTGGTGTGGACAGGCAGAACTAAAATGTATCATATAGGAAGCCAATACATCTGCTAGCCACCGATGCTATAAAATTGGCAATAGCTTTGTTAACTGTCTCAAAAATCAAGGAAGAAACAACAAAAGAGAGTAGATGGCCATCTCATATCCAAATATAGCCTCTTTGAAACAAAACTGAGGCATACTAAAGTGGCAAGAGACAATTTTGTTACTGTTATTGCCTTACATATCTGCTTGGTGGGCAGAGGACTCCATCCTTCAGGGCTGTTACCCTAACTGACTTCACTGCATTCACATTAGCAAATCTCAGCAATAAGAAAGAAACATGTCCTCTTGTACTTGAGGGCCACCTCAGATTCCTGTCCTAGGTTTACTCTAGTCTCCTGGTATCAACAGATCTTTTCCTTAAAACCTCCAAGTCTTCCAGTTTCTCACAGAGGCCTCTCCTGATTCCCGCTTTACCTTACATTCCAAAGTTCACTCATACCAAAATAGTCATCACAAGTTCCTTTTCCCAAGTTCCTCACATCTTCAACATCCTTCTTTTTTTGAACTTTTTCTCCTAACACCATCCCCTCTAGTCCTCAGACTATAACACTGTTATTAGCAAAGGAAAACAAACAGTCCTGTAGCTGAAGAGGTCATTAAAAAATTTGGACTCTGTTTCAACTATTTGAAGTTTAGCACTATAACGCTAAGCACCCTGGTATTTTTCTCGTTATAATGGTAAATTTTAGACTCCGTTAAATGTATGTTGGATAGCAACAGTGTCATGTACATTCACACTGCTATGCTTTGGATGGACTTCCCTTCAAGATATCAATTACCTTTTTTCACTGTAACATGGGATAAGTAGATCGCTGCTCCCAGCAGATGCATGAACTCAGATACCACTTGAAAACTATCAACCTTTCTTCTCTTATGCTACCCCCAAAATAAGGGAGATTTCAGTGAACAGAGATTTATTTCAGATAAAACCATTCCTGGCACAGCTTTACCACTTCTTTGACATATTAAGTGATGTCCCAACACTGTTTAACGAAATCTTCTGCTGGCATCCATATAATTATATGCATGGCAATTAGCAAAGAACAAGTGATTAATTTTTGCACAAAGACTCAAAGAATGTCAACTGACCAGGTAACCTGGCTACTGACGCGATGTGGTTTTGCAAGGTGCTGCTTTCTAATCAACGTCCCATACAGCTTTTCAATCGTCATCAATACACAATCTTTTTTCACAAACTGTGACCACTCTGAAAAGAGTCCTCCATGGTGAAGGCATGGCGTATGCAGGTAAGATGGAGAGCTGCGCCCTGTCTAATGGAACAGATCTCCACCACCACAGAAGAGGAAGGCATTAAGAGGTATTCAGCAGAGTGAAAGCTGCGTACCTCCAAGCCCTGCAGGCTTAACGAGGTAGAGATAAAAACTTGCAAGTGGGAAAAGGGATGGTGGGAAGTTTAACTAATCTCCCCTATGAAAGGAGAAAATGTTTCTGATCTCTCCTTTGAGGAAAAGGAGATAGCACCTTTCACCATTCCCTCTCCTTTGAGGAAAAGGAGATAGCTTCTTTCGCCATTCCCTTTCCTGACCCTTGAAGGAAAAACCCTATTTATAGGGCTAGTGATAACCCACAGGTAAGAGGACAAACTGGGAAAGAGATAAGATTCTGGAAGCAGAGGACTGCAAACCACCAGTGGCCTTTAGTCTGCTGGAGAGCAGAGGGAAACGAGCAAACTGGTGCCCTCCTCATCCCAAGCAGACTGCCACCCCCTCCCACAGCCAAGGGAACAAAACCCCTCTAAAACCAGTGTAACACTTTGTTGCAACTGAGAAATGCAAAAATTTGTCTTTAAAAAAAAAAAAAAAAAATCATGGGCCTGACTGAAGGCCTTCTGCAGCTTTTTTCAGTCTCCCCTTGGGCAGAGCTCCCTGTAACTCTTTAACGTGAGTTTTGCAGAAGCACAACTTTATGCCAGATTGTGATACTGTTATTTGGACTGAGTAGGAGCTTGTCATGAAAATGGTTCTGTTCCAATTACCAGGATAAAACACAATATAACTAAGTACTCCGAAAGCAGGGCTATTGAAGCCAAACTGCACACACAGACTTCAAGATATAGTTTATTTATGGTATTTTATATCTCCAGGGCACCAGACACTATGAAAAAAGCAACAGTTAGCTTATGCATTCCGGGGGGGGGAGGAAGTAAAGCCAAACACAAAGAAAATCCTACAGCAAAGAACAGTGACCATGGACATGGGGCAAATCCAGGATTTATTTTCAGGATCTCCTCGATTCCAGTTTCCTACACTACAACACCTCATTAAAAGCAGCTTTTACCAAGACCTACTTTCATTCAAAATCTGAAAGACAAGCTTTACCGTTAAACTTTTAACACCTCATGACAGATATGACCTTTCATTCCTTTCCACATACATTCAGCCAGTAGACTTTCTTTCCATGTTACCAAACACGGGTATTAACGAGACCAGTAGGTATGCGACAAAGATAGATTTACCTTTGAGCCACTATCTGTAACGTTTATTCCGTAGTTAGAGGAAAAAAAGTCCTAACCATCGAGCAAGGGAAAAGCTGAATAGAGCCACACAGCATGTGCAAGTTACATGCCCTAAAAGGGTTCAAGAGGCTTTTAACAGACAGCGTGCATTTTTTCCTCTCTGCATCGGTATTCACTGGGCTGTCCCAAACACTTTCTATGAAAAGGTGACCATTAATTAATGTTTTTGAAACCTCCAAGTGGCATTGAGTGCTGGCACTATATCTTAGAAAACTGAGAACCATTTTGTTTATAAATAATGAAGTGAACTCTGCATTTAATCTGTATTTTACTTCTCCCCTTCTTTATTTAAGGCTACTGTACCAAAAAGGATTTTTAAAGTTTCTCAAGAATTTATCTTTTGTCAATTTTTCACATAAAATTGCTGCCCTCAAAAGCCACATTACCATTTCCTCACAGTCCCTCTGGAGATAAACTTCTCCCATGATATCTCTAAGGCTTCAGGCTAATAACTGTGATTACATAATGGAACAGTTGTAGATATACCACAAAAGCAAAACCAAGCCAACTACTAAAAAGAATGGACAAGGCCTCACCTTGACCTCTCTGTTCTACACCATGTCCTTGCACAGGCTCCTGGCAACAGTTTCTTGTTAGATGCACTGTTACCAAAACTTTTTAAACATTATTAAATGATGAGGGGGCTAGTCTACAGCATGGCTCAGGAGAGCTGCAATCTATTGCTAGCTTCTATGCTTAAGGAAGCATTATTTCACTTTGGGCAACTTTTACCTTTCCATGAAACAGATTCTTCATCTGTGACAGAGGGGTGATAGTCACCTATCTTCACAAGTTCTACAAGCCTTGTAAATCCAGATGTATTTTACTTAAACACTGATGATATCCTGACAATCCCAAACCTTTCAACCCTGAGAGCAACTACAATCCAAGAAGGGCAAGTCCTACAGTTTTCTCAGCTTCTACTTTCAACTCCTCTAAAACCCATTCCTTCCCTCTGAAGGGACCTCAGGAACATTTCTGTGGTCTGACATTTTTGCAGGTACGTTTTTTCTTTTGTTACCCAAGGAGAACTAGAGCCTGTCTGCAGGCAAATTGTCAGGCCTTTGTTTTCTCTGTGCTGTGCCTTTAAATTTTGAAGTTATCTGTCTTTATGGAGCAGGTTAGGTGGAAAGAAAGTCAAATGAGAGTGGCACTGATTTTGTGAGATGAGCAGTTGAAGTGTGTTAGAGAGGACGCATGCACAAACAGCCACATGCACTGTGCTCTGAAAACAGCTTTACCTTTGAGTCTCCTTTTTTTTTAATCTAAAACTCAAACCATACAGACTAAAAGTATATAGCTGTTCTCTGTGTGCAGAAAGCATTTCATTAAAAAAAACCCAAAAAAAACAAACACCAAAAACGAGAGAGAGAACCCCAGGCAATAGGACAAATCCTACTTTCAGCTGCATCGATATGAATCAATAGCAATTCTGTTGAGGAAACTCGATTCCTACTGATGCAAGTGGAAGCAGAGTTTATCCAAGTATCTTTATTTTTTTTTTTTGTTTATTTTTATGAAACTAAATGTAAAAAAAAAAAAAAGGCATTTATAAAACATAACTGAAATCTGACTAGAATCCTGATAACTGTGTTTTCTCACACTCATTTTACTTCATCATTTTTTAATAGTCACTACTCTGCAGACTGCCTCCTCCTCCTCCCACCCTAGCTGGTTCCAGGATGACTAGACATCAGCCCAAACCTGGCAGACAATATTCCTAGTTATTGCTTCCTGAAGACCACTGCTGATTTTGCTGCTCTCATTTGAAAGTGATACAAGCTCTTTCAGTAATACAAGCCATTTCACACTGTAGGAAGGTTTTGTAAGCTTTTTTTTTCCCCCCCACAAATGCCACATGCATACACTTCAACTCTGCTACCCTCTAAATTCAGGAAAATGGCTTTGTTTCCTTATAACCCCAAGTGCTGCTCTTCCTGGACTGGCTTCCTTCTACTTAGGCTCCTCAGACTTACAGTCTATGTTTTTGAAAAGAGCTTGAACTTTCATTTCCCCCTCTTTGGAATTTTTTCCACTTTATTCTTTAAGTATTTTTAGGCTTGATTTCCTTTGGGTTTTTTTTGTTTGTTTGCTTGTCTGATTGGTTTTTATTTTTGTTTTGCCTCAAACGTGATGCTGGATGTTAGTCCAGCTGTCAGATCGTTCACCTTCTATAGTTTGGGGGACTTTGCACAACAGTGCTAAATGTAGTGAGGTATCCAGGAGAACTGAAGGTATAGATGTATATTCCACAGAGGGCATTCACTAATTACTACAACTTTGAATCACTTTATCTGAACTTGCACACATACACTCATGTGTGCTCAGAGGACACTTCTGAGCTCCAACTATAAATGCATGGCTGTACAGGCCTTTCCAGGATATGTGTACCAATGGATTTAAGAAGGGGAAATATTGGAAGCTGTATTCAGCACAGAGTATAAGGCAGTTACTTCTACTCCACTCCGCCTGCTCATATTTAATGCCATCTTTAGTACCACTGGGAGGTAAGCCTGCAATAAGAATTCAATATATACAAAACTCTCGAGTTGGGTAAAGGGAGAGCTTACTGGATGAAATCCAGTAAGGATGAAATCCAGTAAGGATCTTCATCCACATAACGATGGCAGGGAAGGCATGCTCAAGAACCAGTACAGCCACCCTGGCAAATATAATAATCAACAAAAGCAGCAAATGTTGTTAAAGAAATGACAGGCATTGAAGCCCACTTAGAAGCTTTTAATCAGGGTTCCAACACTTTACAGTTATCTTGAAACAAGAAAAAAAGTTATTAAGGTGAAAGGAAGTACATAGGCCAGCTAATTTTGGCCAATTTTTGAAAGCTATTATAAGGAACAGTAGATCGGTTTTTTGTTATATACTGCTTGTTACTGCTTCTTTAAGGTGCTAAACCAGATCTACTAACTGCCAGTTAGAAACCTATTTATCAGAGAGAACGATACACACAGAGGACAAAATAAATAGAAA